GGTGGCCGCGGGGGTGGTGTGGATCGTCACTGTGGTGCTCCTGGTGCTCGGCATGTCGCTCTACTACCGCACCATCCTGCTGGACTCCTCCTGGTGGCCCTTGACCGAGTTCGGCATCAATGTGGCCCTCTTCTTCCTCTACATGGCTGCTGCCATCGTGTACGTGAATGACACCAACCGTGGGGGGCTCTGCTACTACCCGCTCTTCAAGACGCCCATCAACGCGTCCTTCTGCCGCGTGGAAGGCGGCCAGACAGCCGCGATCATCTTCCTGTTCGTCGCTGTTGTGGTCTACCTGATCAGCGCCGTGGTTGCCCTGAAGCTCTGGCGGCACGAGGCGGCCCGCAGGCACAGAGAGTTAATGGAGCGAGAGGTAAGGCTTAAACTAGCGCCGCAAATCCAGCGCGTGGGGCGCCACGGGAAGCACCTGGCAGCTCCTGTCCAACATGGCTTCAGAGTGACCGTATTCACCAGTCTCGCTGGTAAATCCGAGATCGCTGGGTGAAACGTGTTAAGTTACCTGATTCAAATTTCCATTGCTTTTTTGATTCGTGTGTTTATTGACTTTGATAAGCACTGTTTCTGTTCCCTTCATAGCACTCATTTTGCTTCCTGCCTAAGCCAATGAGCCACTTCCTGGCTGTATTTTCCAAACAAAGCAGGGAGGGAACAACGTGCCTATTCGCTGCTCAGTGGGTAGGGCCGAAGCCACCTAGCAGTTGGAGTCTGAGCTTTCCGTGGGTTAAGAGCCAGTGAGGATGACAGTAAGAGGAAGTTGTGATTTTTATGTTGCAAACGAAACTCCAAGCGACTTCCTTATGTCTTTTTAGCTTTCCTCATGATAGTAGAGATAACAGTATTAACAATGGAAATAATGGAAAACTGACGCACCAAAATCTAGCCCATTTAATTTCTTTTTCCCCTTCCTAAATACTGAAATAAAAACCCGAAAACCTTGAACCTTAGGAAATGTGTAACTATCTTGTAGGCAACTTGGGCAGTGAGGGGAGGGGAGAAAATAAAAATGGGATGTCTCTAAGTCCTTTTTTAAGTATTTTTGCTAACTTCTAGTGCACTTTTTTTTTTCTGAAAGTGAAAGAGGGAGGGATCTTAACTCTTCATAACAAACTCTTCAGAGATTGAACAAGGTAACTCAAGAGTCTGTTATAAAACACCGAGTTTTTTTTTTTTGTATTTTTTCCTTGTTATGCTTTTTGCATTTTCTTAAAATTCTGCTTTAAAGATAAATTGATCGTATTGATCAAGATTTTATCTGTACACAATTAAAGCACTTCATCTGGCATAAACTTGGAACTCCCCTTTTGAAAAGTTGTAGCAATATGATTAAAGCTTTTAAGCATTTTTTGAACTTGTGCAAAAACAAAGTATTTGCTGGAATTGCACAAAAAATGAATGGAAAAACACGGAAATGTTTTGTTAGCAGTGACCTAGGCCTCGGAGTGTCAGAGAGTTAATATATGCTGGAATGTGCAGTAATAAAAGTGACCAGCTGCAGTATTTAATCCGATTTCTTCCCTACAGCTATTAGGAGAGACCCTGTCCTGTTCCTATTTTGGGTGGGGGTGTTTTTTGTTAGTTTTTCTGGGTTTTCTTCCTGTCATTCTTAAGTGTTCTTTAAATCTACTGCTCTGAAAAAATTCTAAAGTTTTTCCTACTTGAAAATATATACATAACTATCTGTTCTGCATGATTTTCACAAAGTTTAGATTTGAAGAGTCTCTGATTTGGGGAAAATTTATGCTGAAAATGAAACTTAAATTTCCTTTATCTTTTTTTTTCCCAATAGATGAAAACACAGTCATCTTCGGCAGAACAGAAAGTAAGAAACAATTTATATTTGTTTCTATTTGTTTCATTACTGGTATTTCTAAGTGCTTATTGTTTCTCTTGTAACCCTTTGTTCTGATTGACCAGTCTAGTTTTTACGATGCTAGGAAGAGATGAGGTTGAGGTCTTTGATGTAATCCAGACAACGTCCTTCTACCCTGGAGGCTCAGAAAGAGCTCCTGAAGAAGTTACTGCTGGCCAGGCGAGGGCTCAAGTTTATGGTGTCAGCAGATCGGGTGGCTGCCGCTGTGTGTGCTCTGACCCTCATCAGCTGAATGGCAAATCCTGCAGCATTCATCCCGTGTTTTGCATACGTGGCTGTGACACCAGAGCAAGCATCTCATGTGTTGTGGGTTTTAGATGGTCTTTGTTTTTCCTGACTGACTGCCTGTTTAAATCAGAGAAGAGGCAGTGAAGCACAGTGGTGGCACTCGCAGAGCTGCCAGTTTGCTCTTGTGTTTGAGACCGCTCCAAAGTCCACCCTGTGAGCTCTGAAATATCAGTAAATGCCCAAACCTGTAAAACCCAAGAGGGATTTTAGCGCTTCCGTGAGCAAGTGCGTTCAAAATGAAGATTGCATAGGATCTTAATACAGTAGATGTTGATGATTCTCACAGCACTGATAATGTATTTTTTTCAATCTTAAATGCCTCCCACTAGATACTGTGAACTTCCTACTACTCTTTTCTCAGTTGCTCACTTAAGTACTGAATCAGGATCCCTTTTTTTTTTTAAATAAACTGTGGCAGGACTCCATGTGTTGCTACCTCTGGATCCAGAGAGAAATAGCACAACAGAGAATGAAGGAAAACTGAGTCATGGGAGAACTGGGTGATTTCTGTCCATCAGCAGTCACAGATTAGACTGTGATTAGAAACCCAGTAAAGGTTTCTTAAATTACTTTTTAGGACACATGAGACAGACTTTCCAAGAACTTTTTGTTTGTTTGTTTGTTTGTGATTTTTTGCCACTGGAACAGCTATTTAGACAATTTTAAGATGGTTATTGTGTGAGAAACATTACTGTAACACCTTCCTAATTTTCTAAGTACAATAAGAATATGTACAATTTGTGTGTACAGTCCTTGTGTTTCTGTCTTCAAGTCAGTCAGGTATTTTGTAGTTTGTGTATATTGGTCTTGAAGTAAAATTGACTTCATTAAGAACTATTTTTTTTTCCTTCTCTTAAAACTTAGTATGACAGTGTTGACAGACCAAGAGAAGAGACCACTTACAGGCAGCTCAAATCAGTGGAAGTGAAGCCTGAACAACTGAATGGTCATATACCTGCAGGCCACATTCCTAAACCTATAGTGATGCCAGACTACTTAGCGTAAGTGATAAGCAAAACTAATTGAGAATATTTGATTTTTTTATATATTTCAATCTTCCTGAAGTGAATGTTAAACTAGAGGGGATGTGGGCTGGTGTCAATGACACAGAAACAGCAATATAAATGAAGAATCTTAAATTAAGAAGAGAAACTTGAAATGTTAAAGCAGACTGTTGTGATGTAGCATGTATTATAATTACTGATGGAACAGAAGACAATACAGAAAAGATTTTTTTCCTTTTAGTCCCTGAATCTATAAAAATACTTATTTTCTTATTTTTGAAGTGGTAGAACCAGGCCATTCTATGGTAAGGTAGGAAATCTTGAAAATAATTTGTATAATATTTGGCATATTTTGGTGCTTTACATATATGTAAATTTTAGCAGGTTATGAAATTAACAAATATTTATACAAATACAGAAATACTGTACCAAAATCAATGATTTGTATGTTTGTTGAAATCCTGTCTCTAATTACTCCTTAAAAAACATTTTTTTTAAAAAAAAGGAAATACCCAGCAATTCAAACAAATGAGATGCGAGACCGATACAAAGCAGTATTCAATGATCAGTTTGCTGAATATAAAGAACTGTCAGGGGAAGTTCATGCTGTTTTAAAGAAGTTTGATGAACTGGATGCATTGTTGAGAAAACTGCCTCATAGTCCTGGCAACTTACATGTAAGTATTGTGAAATGGACTGTTGTGAAAGCAGCTGTGGAAAGCTGTGAAATGGAAATGCCTAATGTTATTAGGCAGTTTTGCTGTCATTACTTAAGGCAATGTCTTGTAATGTTGGCAGTGACTTGGTAGGAAAGACAGTTTCCCCATGTCTGTTATTTCTTGTTTAGTCATTAGCTGGGGATACCAAGTTGCAATTAAACTGTATATGTATATATTTTCCATGTTAGTAGCTTTCAAGCTTTGTATAAGCTGTAGTTAATGTATTTTTGCTATTTCTCAAATACAAAAGCAGTTAAAATGTATTAAAATGGATTTGGTTAAAGGAGCGTTTGGTTTTTAACACGTATCTAGTAAAATTTACATGAAGAAATGGAGCACGCTATTATCATTAAAAATGTGTGGTCTCTCTTACCAGGAACAGGAAAGGATATCAAGAGTTTTGCAGGAATACAAGAAGAAAAAAAATGTGAGTTTTTTTCAGCTTTACTTTGCTAGTAAATCTAATGAATAGCAAAAAGAGTTTAAAGAGATAAGACTGCTGACACTATGTTAAGTATGTTAGCTCAGGGTATGCAAAACTATCATAGAGCTTTATATCCCTGCCTTTTAATAGCTGGGACACTATGCACCCTACTCATTGTGTCAACAACCTCATTTGAGAATAATGATTCTGTTAGACAGAGAGGGGGGAAAAATACTTCAATCTTCTGAGAACATGTCTCTTCTCTAGAATATCGGGTTTGCACTGATTATTTTGGAGATCAAGTTCATTTGTACACACTGACAAAGCCAACACAGCTCTGTTTAACAACAGAAAACACACAGCATTGCCCTCATAAAGAAGTTCTGTGTTTTCTTTTTGGCGTGAGGCTTTCATGGACTGTCAAAAATTAATTCTCCCTGTAGCCCAAGAGATTTTTGCTTTGTTGTTTTTAAATCCTGGCAGTAAATGTGCACCTTTGTTCCACTAAAAACATAATACATTACGAATATCTCTTTTAAAATTTATTTCAAATTTTGCATCCGTGTTAATTAACTTTCATTGTTTTTGGAGGGAAGAGGGTTCATTTGACATGTCAGAACACACCTATCTGTATTTGCACATTTATATTAAAGTTATTCTGTTTACTAGATAACTAAGGCACATTAAAGCTGAGCCTCTCTCTTTCACTATTCATAAAAGAAGAGGAAAGAGGAAAAGGCTGGATGTAAGAAACTGTGACCAAGGAAATATAATGTGTTTTTGAAGAATGAGGATATTTATATGCTGTCTATATTCAATGACATAATGGGTAATGAGCTACTGTTGGAGGAAACTGAAAGCATAAACATTAATATAAGGGTGGGGATTTTTTGCATTTTTTGGCAGGATCCTGCGTTTCTGGAGAAAAAGGAGCGTTGTGAATATCTGAAGAATAAGCTTTCTCACATAAAACAACGAATTCAGGACTATGATAAAATTATGAATTGGAATGTGCAAGTTTAGCATTTCCTTGACTACGGGGATATTGTTTTATATTTTTTTAAATAGAAATGTGTTTTTAAAATATTTATTTACTCTCAATTTCCACTGGGGAAAACAATTTCTGCCTTAATCACTTTGTCACTTACTTGAATACTATGCATTTCTAACAGGTTTTGCATTCAGATGCAATTTTAAATCAATGTAATGAAGTTAGCAGATGAATTTAGAAAATCTGTGTTAATATTGTGCTTTTATTAGATAGTGCACAGCCAGTCCTCTTACGTATGCACACTTTTCTATTTGCGAGTATTGCATTGTTATCTACTACAGAAAGCAGAGAGGTGAGCTTATGCTACTGGCTGGGATTTGATAGAGTACTTAGTTATTTTGAATAGTTTTGACAAGTCAGAACTGAGTTTAATAAGTCTGTGTCTTCATATGCTGTGCGAAGTCAGAAATTATTGGGAATTTCATTCAACAAGAGCTAAAAATAAGTTTCTATTTAAGCAAGCTCAGCATTGTGGGGTTTTTGTCTTCACTGTTTTTGTTTTAAATGCTCTTCTATAGAGGTGATGTAGTGAATTTATATATGATCTTAAAGGTATAGAGATGCAGGCTTAGGCCATGTCTATTTTTCACTAGTATTGCCAAAAATGGTGTGTTTTGCCTTTTTTGTTTTGCTCTTTTTTATTATTTTATTTTTTTTAAAATCAGCTTAGTGGGAAGAATCCATGGGCCTAAAAGAAAACTATATTTTTGCTCTTTGTGAGGAACTGGAGTCTTTGTTTAGGACAATTTTAAGATTACTAGTTGCAGCTGATTGTGAACTCTGAGATTGAGTGGAACAAAACTGATTTCCAATTAAAATAGCAATAAAGATATTCTATAAAGCCAGGTGAAATACTTTGTTGATAGATATACTTTCTAGAGATTTGTGTAATATATGTTGGGATTAAGTAGGTTTGCACTGGGCAAAGGTTCTCATAGTAATTTTCTTTTCTATTTCATTCTTATATCTCTATATTTACTTTTTCCTTATTAAAGTTGGCAGCATCGATAGCCACTTTTTGTACAATTTTCTATAACTGCTGTTTCACTGGATATTTTGTTCCAAAATATATTTTCCTTTCAAAACAAAACAAAAATACCTAAACTAAGCATAACTATGTTATTCTCTTTGTTTATGAAGACATTTTCTTGAAGTAACCTTAACAGCTTATCTCAGTACTTTTGTTGTTGTTAGTAATTGTATGTCATCTTTAGAGGTAAATGTTCAACTTTGAAGGGAAGAATTTAGGAAAGTGTTGTCTAGTTTAGACACTGATGTCATCTTCGGTAGTGCAAATGAAGTGCTGTACCTCACTCTGGGAGTTATTTGCTGCCTGATTTTTGAGCCCTTATTATTCACACTGAAATCCCAATGGTTTTGGACTTGCTCTCATACTTATTGAAGTTGGCATTCCAATTTAAGCAGCCACTTAACTCCAAGAACTCTAGCGGATGAAGTACATAACACAAGAAGCTAAGAGAATGCTGAGAGAATTCCCTTGTAGGTGCCAAGGAAGGCCTGGCACCTTTTCCTTTGACGCAGGCTTACGTCTCTCCCACTTGGAAGGTCTCAGTATCTTTTTCAGTGTGAACTGGGCAAAACGCAGTGCTATCCCTTGTCCTCACTCTCTTCTCCATTCTGCCTGGATCAAGTTTCCATTCCTTTCAGTATAAAGGAAACCTCCCTACATTTTAAAGGGGGCTGGGACCAGCAGAGCTACAGAAACATGACAGGAGCTTCTGTTTGTAAAACATGTCCATGTCCAGACTGCTGTGGGTTAAATGCCCGCTCATTTCGCACCGAGATTTTCCCTTTTTTCTTTAATGGCAGTTCTGGGTGTTGAGTCAAGGGAAGATAAATCCAAGTTTAAGGCTCAAGTGCTAAAGATCCCCTCGCACTCCACCTGCCAGCTTGCTTGCCTGTTGGGTTCTGTTATGTTCTAGTCAGTCCGTGGTGCAAGAAAGGCCTGTTAAGACTATGGGGACCCACTTCCAGTCTCCTTTTGACAGTGGTCTGAGCTTCTCTCTCTGAGAAAACAGCTCCCAGCCCCTGTGAAGCCAGTGAAGTGTTTGCAGAACCATCCAGCTTCTCTTTTCCATCTGCATTTCCATGGAAGGAGCTTGGAGAAGGGAGCACTTTGCCTCTTGTTGGAATGGGGGAAGGACCTGATGGGAGAAACTGCGTGTGGCTTCCTCGGCACCTCCTGCAACGCTGCCACGCATGTGTCTGGGCTCATTTCCTGGGTCCCGGGAGAAAATGGGCAAGAACACCCTGTCATGACCGCCAGGGCCAGGCAGGATGTGGCGCCAGGCATTGGGGCGGCGCGTGCGGAGC